TTTTTAATATCCACATCAATTTTATGTGAGTGACTCTTGTTTCAAGTACTAATAACAAAGGAGTATAAGCTTATTTGGACATTGCACTCACCAGCTCCTCCTTATCTTTCATATCCAAAATACTAAAAGTTACATCATGTCCAAAATGTGCAAAATAATTATCGCATTTCTTTGCAGTTTACTTAAAGTTAATGTTACTCTAAGAAATCAACTCCATTTTTGACTCTTCCTCCGTTTGCTTTTAGCCAAACGAACAACGCCTCTCCTGGAGTACATCAAAAATAAGAAAATCGAAAAACAGGTGAGACAGAAGCACGGGTTGTAAAGACCAGAGCTAAAGCAAACAGAAAGATAATTTTCTGTGCATCACACTTTCACCAGAGGATAAGAGAGGAGAAGAGAGAGGAGCGAAGAAGAAGGGAGCTTGAAAAGAAAAGGCAACGGGAGGAAGAGAAACGAAAGCGGCGAGAGGAGGAGAGACGCAAGCGGAAAGAGGCAGAGAAGCAGAAGAAACTGTCCGATAAAGACATCAAGATTAAGGTCGCTCCTCATTTCTGACAAAAACACCTCTGACCAGCTTTTAGTCTTTCCATTTCAGCTAAATATCTCAGAGTAATGTGTTTTGTGTTATGTGCATTGATAGCTCCTAAAGAAGAGCGACAGAGACGACGACGTTGACTCGGACCGAATGAAGGAAAAAAGCGAGCCTTGTGACGCAGGTGTGGGCAAGTGGGAGAAAACCGGAGGACAAATGAAGTCGAAAGAACCAAAAGAAAAGTACGAAACACCCAGTCCATAAAATGACCAAGTAGTTTGCAAAAGTTTATTTTTATTCTTAATGAAAGCCAAAAGACAACTCAGCTTTATCGCTTTCACACGTTATAAAAGTTTTCAAAAAGTACTTCTCTTGTAGTAGTTGTATTTGTGGTAATGATATATTTGCATATACGGCACCTCATTTGACCTTAGTGTGTCACTTCCTGTCCAACTAATTTAATCTTCTTTAAAGCACCACCGCTGACAGTCAGCCAGAAATTAAAAACATGAAATGTCTATCAAAACATTGCATGTAAAAAAAAAAAAAGAAGTCTTGATAATATTTCAAGAAAGTATTGATGTAACTTTTAGGAAAATGTGAAGATTTTGAAAACAATCTTCTGATTACTAAAGTGGCCATAATTCACTACTAGCTACTTTTTTTTTTTTACTGTTACTTTATTTTCAGTATTTCAAAACAACTGTAAATCCTTCAACAATGAAAGAAAAATTATGGTCATCAATTTTTAAATTTCAGGCTGAAGTGCAATAAGTTACATTAAGCCTTTAGGGTACAGCTATGAGGCTAATATCTTCATTAAATATCTGTCAATTGTATGTTATTTCCTCGTAAAAGCCTTTTATTGATTTTATTCTGGTATTTAATTGGCTTGAGCGACGACCCTGAGTTCCTCCTTTGTGTTTACTGCTAGCTTTGCTGTAACGCCACATTTCAATATACATTTGACCAGCAGAGGTCAGGCTGAGAGCGACAAAGAGCAGAGAGATCAGCACGGCCGCAGGCAGAGAGATAAGGATCACCGCGGCAAGGACGAGGAGAGGAAACGGCAACGCCACCACTACGAATTTGACAAATTCATGCGGCGGAAAGATGAGACCAAATGGGGGAAGGGCTACTGCCAGGACCGAGCCAAGAAAGAGGGCCATCATCACAGCTACTCTTACTGCCCTGACGGGGCAGACAAAATGGGAAAGGAGGACAGGGAGGACCTGAGCAACAGAAAGGAGCGCCTCCGAAACAAGGTGAGCGAGAAGGTGAGCATGAGATGGAACAGGAAGGTGCGTTCCAGATGTCTCCCGTGATGCTGAACGCCTGCGAGGAAATCGCAGTGGAACACAAATGATCATCTTTTGGTTTTGTTTTTCTGATTCACTTAGTCTGAAAAACATATTTTTCAGGAAGTTCTGTGGTATTTTTGGGAAGAGGGTGAGAATTAATGGCATAATGTGTAGAGTTGCGAAAGACGTAGGAGGAAGGTTACTTTCTAAGGCAGTGATCTTGAACACAATGAGAGAGATGCCTACATGCTAGAAGTCAGTGTCTAGACCTAAATCTGATTGAACATCTGCGGAACGATTTAAAAGTCAATTTTTTGTTACTTTACCACAAACCCCTGTTGTATGTGGTCGGAACACAACAAACTGAGAAAGTTCAGGGGGTAGGTGTCACTTTTGGAAGACATTGTGAGAAAGTTTAGCTACTTTACTCAGTGAGGAGCGAAAATGTATTTTAATCTTCAGATCACAAGTGAGACAAAATGTGTAAGAGTTCAAGATGCACAAGTAGTTTTTGCATTACACACTAGATGTGCATCTGTGAACCCTGACTTGGCCTTGTTTTTATTTGACATTGCTCTCTCTCTCTCTCCCCATCCTGCAGGACCGTCCTGCCATGCAGCTCTATCAGCCCGGCGCGCGCAACAGGAAGCGCATGAGTTCGGCTAATAAAGGCTATGACTGCCTCCCTATCGGTCATTCCCCCGAATGCAGGACGGAGCATTGTTATGAGGTTGTTGCCATGACAGCGGGGATGGAGAGGGGGTTTGAGAAAAGCAAAGACGAGCAGTGAATACTCTAGGTCTCAAGAGGAAAGTCATGGGGCATAAAAATCAGTTTTAAAGGGAAGCTGCTGTCATTGGTTGACTGATTTCTTTCTTCCTGTTTGTAGGTTGGTAATGAAATTGTATCTGTGGAACTTTCTTCATGCTATCTAGCTTTCAGACCCGTCAACTTTTAAGGTACTCTGCTCTCGCTCTTTGTGGTACAGAAGCGTCTCAGTTAAGACATCCCGAAAAAAATGTACTTTCAAGACCGATGACCTTGCCTTCTGCATGGGAACTTCCTTCCAACATCTAGCATATTTTGTCATTTGTGTTGTTTTTAGTAACCTTATATATTTCTATTAATATAAAAAATATTGTTGGTAAAACTGACAGACAACAGATCTTTTAAAAAAAATAAGGTAAGAAATCTCATTTACTATATGTACAGGCAACCAGCAGACTACACATTGATTATTAAATCCAATTTCAATGCCACAATTTATTTTTATTTATTTTTTTGTCAGTAATGCTTTGTACACAATCAACTACAGCGCCACAAGAAAGTATCCCTTTATGCTTTTCCATATTTTTTTGCATTAGATCCGTCTTAAAACTGATCTGAGTGTAGTTTTATCTCATATAGCTTACTATATTTAGTTTACTTATAGTATAGTTTTCTATAAAAATGTTAAAACAGATTTTCCGACAATTTTGTAAGTAAGAAAAGAAAACAAATACAGTAGGTGCATAAGTACTCACTAAATCGGATCACAACTGATGAGCGGCAGCAACATTTGATGAATTTTGTGGCTGAACGTGATTGGACACATTTCTCCACACAAGGTCCTACAGTTGACGGAGCAGAGCAAAAACCAAGCAGTGAAGTCAAAAGAGTTTTCTGTAAGACCCCCAAAGACTGGATTCTATTAAATCACTAAAACTGGCATCCATCACCACTGTCATTTTTTTTGGTAATGCATCAACGGAAGCCTTATCCAGGACCTTTCATAGACCCGATACTCTGAATCTCAGACAAAGGTAAAAAAAAAAAATAAAAATAAAAAAAAATCTTCCAGCAAAACAATGACACAAAGCACACGGTCAAAATGCAAAGGAAGGAGCTTCAGGGGCAAACTGTGAATGTTCTCGAGTGACGCAGACAGAACCCGGACTCGAATCCAGCTGAATATTTCTTGAAATAGCTGAAAATGACTGCCGACCAACACTACCCATCCGACCTGACTGAGCCCGAGAGGATATATGCATTAGAAACAGGGTGGAAATACCCCCAAAACAGTGATACCGTGCTGACGTGCTTATTATGTTAAAATGCATTTTTTTATAAATATGCAAAATGTCTGAAAAAACTGCTGTCTCTGTGTTCCAATGAACTATAATGAGTAGGTTGAAAAGGGGAACTAAACTCATATTGGTTTTAAAATGAAGCTGCAATCAAATGTGGAACAGGCAAGCTGGTGTGAATATTTTCTGGTGGCTCTGTAACAGATGAAAATAACAGTCTTACATGTTATGAATAATTATAAATAACATTTCAAACATTTTGGATTGATTAGTGACATGATTTTATTTATTTTTTAATATTTTATTGCTGTCAACAAAATAAACTATATATAAAAAATAAATAAATAAATAAAAAGCCTTCCGTTATGTGAATAGACGGTATGTGAATGATTTTGTTTTTCTTCTTTCAGGTTTTTTTTTTGTGTTGAACTGTGAGAAAAAAAAATAAATGTCTGTAGTAAAGACGCATTTAGCTTTGATTCGGTTATTTTGGTTGTTTTTGGGTGAGGCTGTTTTAGCTCCAAAACTGTTTATTCTGCACATGAAATGAGTCACTTACAGTCAGAGCTGTTGAGGACAGACCTGCCCTTCTCACTCTGACTGAACCAGAAGGCTGATATGGTGTGTATAGCAGGTCTGCTGCCATACACACGCCTTCCTTTGAAATCATTCTGCGTTACAACAAATTATTATTATTATTATTGTTCTTTGTGTTGTCTTTTGTCTTACCCAGAGAGATAAACACGAACTATGCCTGAAAAACTTTCCCCCAGATAAAGCAGAACTATGACAATCAACAGGAAACCAGTCGCATCAGAGCACACGTTGCATGAACTCGTGAGCGAGCCCAAGCTATCACATTCTGCCTTCACTTTAAAGCAGACTTTCTCGCCTCACACTTATATTTGTTTGTACATTGTGTCTGGGTGTGTACTTAAAAGCTTAGAAGGTAAATAACCTCACTGCTGTAATCTACATTATTTGCATGCGCTTACTATGGTTGAACCGGTGTGAGCTCACAGTCCTTTTATTTTAGTTAAGCACCTGCTCATAACAGAAAGTGATATCGTCACACATGGCATGTTGGGATTTCCCTAACAATACATATTTGTGTTTTTTTGTTTTTTGTTTTTTAGTTTCCATTGTGGTTCTTCATCATAAGCTCTTTATTAGTATCCACCTGTGTTGTACTTTTTGTATGATGTGCTCTGAAAATTTACAAGTTAGTTCGGAGTGGAAAACATTAACATGATGGGAGAGAAAAAATGCAAGATGAATGAAGGAATCTGAGTGCTCTACGTATCGAGATCTGTTGTCCGTTGAGCTTCGATTTCAGGCGTGAATCAAACATGTGGCCGTTACTACAGTTGGTAGGATGACGGTTGTCACATGGTGCATTTCCTCTCAGTGGCACTCTATCAAGTTTAGACCCCATTTCCTCACCAGCCTTCCTCAGTCAAAAGTATCTGTCCCTCCATCTACAACTGCCACACACGTGCCCACCTGCCTGGTTTGCCTCGCTGCTCACAAAGGTACGTTTTCAACTATGAATTCCAACAGTTCCGAACTTTTTGTTACTCACAGTTCAGTGTTGATGTCAACGTGTTCCTCGTGGCACCTTTTGTTTGCTTTTAATTCTTTGCTTTTATCATCCGTACATTGTGTTATTGTGTTGATGTGTGATGTAACAACATAGGGAGTCTAATTTGGACAACATATGGCGTTCTTGTTTGTACTGAGTTACTCAACAGCAGAGAAGTGAAGCTTTTTGTAATGTACACTGTTTTTGATAACATCTACTCAACCTTACACAATAGTGATAATAAGTAAAAGTGGATTAGTGTGGATAGTATGAGGAAATCAAAAATGTTACTGTCGTGATGTTAGACAGCGCCGTGTTAAAGTATTGAGCCATTGCCTTTTGTTTTTTTGTTTTTTTTGGTCAGATTTTGCTTTAGAGCATTATAGATAAATGTTTTCTCAATAGCTTTCAAAGCATTTTCATCAGGTTTTCAAAGTTGTTGTTTTCTTTTTTAATTTATTTTCCATCTGTGTATTTAAAAGACTACAAGCCTGGTTCCTCAATTTAATATCAAGACTGCCCAATAAGTAGAATTTATTAACCAATCCCTTTTCTACACCTGCCTAAAGCTGACACGGTCGGGACGGAGCTGGCGTGTAGGTCAGCACAAACTAATTTTATACCAGTACCCATTACATACATAATAGCAAATTAATAAATGTAAAATTCTGGATTAAAATAGGAAGTAATTACATATTACAATAATATGATGATAATTTAACTTTTTTAACTTAATTTTTGACATTCCCTCATATCTCTTCAGTAATTTGCAGGAAATGAGAGACTTTGTCTCAGTGGCAGCACACCGTAAATATTGTCACTGTACGCAATAAAAAATGTAACGAAAGTGTCTAATTATTTTAGATATTATAGATATAATAATTATAGTGAAATTGCCACAATCTGTCTTAACACAGATATCTCTGTGGATGCATTCAGGACACTTATCAAAGGTGCTAAATGAAGCACTTTGCTGCCATCTTGTGGTCAGAGTTTGAACAATACCAGTTTATGTTTTTAACAGTCTTAAGTTGTATTTTAAAGGGGGGAGTGGGGGATATTATCTAAAATCGATTTTTTTGAGTGTTACTTCCTGATACAATGTTATTCCCTCATCATAAACAGCCTTGGAGTGTTGCTTTGACTCTTCCATGAATGTTTGAGAAATCCTTAATTCTCCCATGACAGCCACTCAGGGCGCCTAAGCACTCCGCCTCGGAGCTGTAGTCTCCAAGAGGAGCTTCTGCCTCACAGAGCACCTCTCCCCCTACACTCCTCCTCTCTGCTCCTGCAGACTAGCATCAGGAGCAATTAACAAACACCTGACAGAACTGCACACTTGCTGAGCTTAGCATATGAACTACTTCCTAGTGCAAGCGCTCTTAAGAATGTTGTTAAAAACTTGATGAAAAAACGCTGCTGTGATGACGTGCTGAAGGCGGTGTCAAAAAGAGCAGGAGCTTCTTAAAGAGACAGAGGCCCAATTTCAAGGCAAAATCAAATTTCTTTTAAGTTGTGTTTGAGATATACAGCATGTTAATGACAACTTAGGAAAACGTAGTTACTTGACTGTGCTATAAAATGGTAGTGTGACTCGAAAATACATAATGTCCCTTTAATTATAGACAATGGGCCAGAAGTTATTGCACAAATCATTAGCTGTAATTGAGTTTTAAAGCTCATGAAACTAGTATACTCAGTTGTGCCTGTTGTCTCTAATTTGCAACAGACACTTTTATCTGTTAAATGAGCCATGTTCAAATTAATAATCTGAGTTTGTTTTATGATCTGCTTGATGGTGACAATGCACTCAATTTAGATTTTGAATTATTTCAAATAAAAGGAAACAGGAAATGGTCCATGTGTTACAGTGCACTAAAACAAAGTGTCACTATGTTTCTCCAAATACCCGTAACACCTTATTGGCTTACCTGCCCGAGGAATAGTGTTGCAATGAAATCTACTCAATCTAAGGCAGCATAGACTGCAAGTGGTTAAAGGAACTAAGTAGAGAGCTGGTTACGATTATTGAGAAATAAAGATAAAAAGGATGTGTCTCAGCTTTTTTGACCACCTGGAACCTCCTCTACCACCAACACCATAGCCGCCACATAGGAGAGAAAGTGTTTGCGTACCATACCCATGCTGACATCCTGACTTCAAACCACTGTCACTCGCTGGGATTGACAAGATATGAGTTTCTCCTGTCAGTTGAAGACATATTGGAGCCAGATTTAATTTTAAAATCCACACTGTAAAATTTTGCAATTGTACAAAAGGTGCCAAGAGTTTGCATATGTTGCCACAAATCATGCATGCCCTTTTCCTGTGTGAAAACTCCACCCGTTTGCATGTGCTTTCTTCTTGCACACAAACAACCCTGGCTGATGGAACCTGAATCTTATTTTCACACCTTAGCTTAAAAGAAAAATATGCATTGCGTGCATCACATCAGAGAAGCTGTCCGTTTTTTTTTTTTTCTCTCCCCACCTTGCGGTTTCTGGTACGTCATGTTTCTTTTTATCTTCTGCCTTTTCATTCTGATTTCACAAAAGTAACAATATGTTTGTGAAAAGAGCTGCTTGTCATCGCTATATTTCTGATGTTATCGTGTAGAAAAATGAATATGACTACCAGGGACTAAAAAAAAAACAACTCTCATGTTGATTTCTGACACACAGGTAATTGGTGACCATTCCATCTCATCATGACGGGGAATTCCAGCAAGGTGCACCTCGACAACGCCACCCTGTCACTGTTTCGGGATGTGAACACCAGCACTGTCATATCTGTTATATACATGCTTGTCACTATCATCAACTGGGTGGGAAATGGCCTGTCAATGTGGCTGCTGCTGTTTCGTACCTCCCCAAAAACGCCCTCCATCATATTCATGATTAATCTAACGCTCACCGACTTGGCTCTTGGCTCCGCCCTCCCCTTTCAGATCGACTACCAGCTCCAAGGATACAACTGGAGATTGGGGTCCAATATGTGCAGGTATTAATGCTTCAACAAGAACTTTCTATTTCTTTTCCACTGAAACAAATGGTTAGACTTTGTCACTACAATAAAATTGCTGTTTTAAAAACTAATATTTGTTCAGATAAAATTAGCAGGTTAGTCATTTGACTTCTCAAGCTACTTCTAATGTTTCGCCATCTGAACTCTGAAAGTAACTTCCTTTTAATTGTGACCCAAAATGTCACACCTTTTCCCTGCTTTTCTTAATCCTGTAGTCAAACACAGTCTTGCTTTTTTTTTTTTTTTCCCCATTCCCCTTGCAGCTTCATGACCCTCGTTTTCTACGGCAACATGTATTGTTCTATCCTGACGATGATGGCCATCGGCATCGACCGCTACCTGGGCATCGTGAAGCCCATGAGGTTCCGGAAAAACAAGAAGAGAAAGTCTGTTGCTGTCATCTGCTGTCTTCTGATGTGGGGTTTGGTCCTGGGTGTCTTGTACCCTCTCATGACCACCGACCTGACCTACAAGGTCCCGGAGCTCCAGATCACCACATGCTTTGACGTGTTGAAACAAAGCATGCTGCCGTCCGTGGGGGCCTGGGCGGCTTTCCTGTTCAGCATGGTGTTTCTTCTCTTCCTTTTTCCTTTCTGTGTTACAATGTTCTGCTATGTTAGTGTCATACACAAGTTGTCCAGTGATTCCAAGACTGTCCAGAAAGGGAGAGCCATACGTCTGGCTGTTGTCGTTCTGCTGGTCTTCGTGTTCTGCTTTGCTCCCAACAACATCCTCCTATTGGCTCACAGTGTCCTTAGACTCTTCTACGGCAAGTCTTTGTACATGGCCTACAAGCTTTCTCTCTGTTTTAGCTGTCTGAATAGCTGTTTGGATCCTTTCATATATTACTTTGCGTCAAAAGATTTCAGGCAGAAGCTGAGAGAGATCATGAATCTCCAGAGTCTGAGTAGTGCAGACTCTATAAGGATGGAGAACAAAGAGACTTTGTATTCTGGATAAGCAGATTTATACGGTGAAGAAACATATTCAGGTGCCTTTGCGATGCCGTAACTACCCTAACAATGCAAAAAATAAAGAAAGAGTTGCAAAAGAAAGCAAGTGACTAAAGGAAAGGGAGGGTTTTGGGATCTTGCAACATATGTTCTTGGTTCATATTGCAAAATCTTAATACATCTATCTCTTTCTTTAACAATAGCTTTAAAAGGTTTAAGCTGTTGGACAGTGACTAAAATGTTACTGCTCCAATCATAGTTTGTGTGTTTTCTCCATTTTATATGCAATCGAGTGGTTGGGAAATCGTGGAGTGCCACAAGCATTTATGTTGGGCCCGCAGTCACTTAGCTTGTTCACCAATCGTCAGATCTTCCGTAGGTGTTAGAAATTGTAACCCGATATCTGCAGACGTTGCAGCCATACACAGAGAATAACAATGATGAATGAGTGACTGTTAGGATTGTTGCACAAAAAGGGCAGTTTCTCAGCTTACAGTGACAGAATGTATTTGACAAAAATCCTATGAAAGACCTATCCAAATATTGGTATAATATTTATATAAATTGGGCTGAACAAGTATGGATGTCAAAAAGTGTTTTACGAAGTTGTATGATAGTACAATGAAATATAATGTAACAAGCACAAAGGTCAGAAATGAGTCATCTGTGTCCATTGATCCTCGCCCTGCTTACTGTAACCAAGCAACTTCAAACCCCGTAACATCACTGTGTGATCAAACCTTCATAAAACACATTCTTTTCACTGTTTTATGATTGTACTTTATTATAAGCAAACTCTGCACTCAGACGGTTGCCTTGTTTTTAAATTTGTTCAAAAATACAATGGAGTCAACATTGGAGGTTTTTGAACAACGTTCAGACAGTGGGAGCCTCAACGTTTGCTGAGAGTGTAGGATCTTGTTAATGAATACATACTAACTAAAATAAGATTTTGAACATTTTACGTTACATGAACCGATAGGATTTGCTGCTGTTTAAATGAAAGAGTGATATCAACCGACAGCATGTGCTGATATTTAACATCTCTTCATGGCTGTTATTTTTGCAAAAAAATATGTAGCATCCAAAAATGTGAACTGTTGTAAAAAAAAAAAAATGTACATATTATGTTAGCCTAACATCCCCAAATAAGTTTTATCTTAATGTTGTTTTTTTATCTGTTTATAACAATGTCAGTGTTCTGTGGTGTTTAAATGTGTGAAATTGACAATATTGTCCTTTTGTTTTATTAAAGTGTATTAAATGATTCCCTCTCTGTTTTCAGGATTTTTTTGTATAAAGTGATTTCTCTCTTTTTTTTTTGTTAATATAATCTTCGTCATTATTAATATTACTTTTTTCGTTGGTAAACAATAGAGTGGATGTGTACCTTAACATTCAGACAAGAGATGTGCTGAGGAGTTAAAAATAAGCAAATAGAGGTATTTGACAAGGGTTAGGTGCTCAAATATTGTGCCAGACAAGCAAAAAGAAATTGTATAATGCAGCACCAACGCCATATTTAAATACTTTGAATGAAGAGACCATTGAAGTAAACAAACAGCTAGTCGTCTTGAGGTTTTAATTCAATTTCCAGGTGTTATACTACCACCCGATATTCTGAATCCATTTTCAAAATTTTATGCTGTTTTTAAATTTCTCTTTTAAAAGAAAATGTGAGAGACTATTGTTTTTTGACTTCTCTCGTGCATTCAACACTATCGGTCCAGGTCTATGAGATGAGAACTGATGCCAATGCACAAGAGGAGCCGTCATCCTCTTGTGCCCCAGATTGTGGACTGCCTGACTAGCAAACCACAGTTCATCCACCTGCAGCGCTGTGTGTCACATACTGTTGTTAGCAACACGGGGGCTCTACAAGGGACTTTCTCTGCCCCCTCTTCTGATTCACCCTTTATAGCATGGGCTTCAGCTATTTCGCTGATGCCTGCCATCTACGGAAGTTCTTGGATGACTCAACTGTGGTTGGTTGTAACTGTGGTTGGTTGTAATAGTGAGGTTGATGATGAGGTGGAGTGGATGGCTGCTGTGGGCAACTATGTTTCATGAGAACCACCCGCAGTTCAATGTGACAAAGACCAAGGAACTGGTGGTGAATCTGAGGAGGAGGACTAGGATGTCGGTGATCCCTGTTTTCATCCAGGGCGTCAGTGTGGACATTGTGGAGGAGTATAAATATCTGGAACTCCATATTGTTTGTAAATTGAACTGAATTAAGAACACTGACGTTCTCTACAGGAAGGGCCACAGTTGCCTCTATTTTCTGAGATGGCTGTGAGGTCCTCCAACATCTGTTTGACCTTGCACAGGATGTTTTCTGAGTCTGTGGTTGAAGGTGCTATCCTGTTTGCTGTGGTGTTCTGGGGAAACAGGCTGCAAGTGGAGGACACCAACAGACTGATCCACGATCAAGGCCAGTGAGCTGAACTGAAATAAGCATTTTACCCTTGGGGATCAATAAAGCATATTCTAAACATTTTATAACATTCAACAAATATGATCAATTATATGTGTATTATATTATTGAATGTTATACAATGTTATGGGGGGGGAGTGTTTTCAGCCTCCGCTCGCTGCCTGACAATATTTTTAGACAATATTTTCAAATATTTCCTTGATCAACAAAAGCCAGAGTTCGCCGCTTTCGCCGGTGAATCTGCTCCATTAGACGCCGGCTGAAGAATGGCGCGCACCCACAGGCATTTGATCCTTCACTTGTAGGCTACGTCATCACGTTGCAGCCGTCATTCGGGTTATCTTAGCAAGCTGCTCTTTCCATGTTTCCTGGCTTCTGCAGGTAAGACTGGAGACCAGCGAACAGCTATTGAATTAAATGATACGTAATTTTTCAAATTAATTCTCGTTTGCTAAGCTGAGTGATTCATAGACGTGAACCTTGCTGGTTTTGTCACGGTTTCTGTTAAGTTAGCTGATATGAGCTAGTGCTGCCTGAACTGTGTGAGTGAGGGCGTTATGAACCACAAATTTACACAAATAACTTGACATAAATACATAACTTTGCACATTTTGTCCTGAATACCATATTTACGCAGTTATAGTTAACTGATTTCAATGGCTGCAAATGCTAGTCTGTTTATTCAGAACCTTATAAAGATGCTGCAACATAAAATTAATCTTTCCAAACTATGCAAATCTTACAGTAGACCACTGGTTTTATTTCACTGCTGAACATCACGTGATGAAGCTGAAAGTCTGTTTTTATGGCAATATATTCATTGATAATGTGTGTAAAGTCAAATAAGTAAAAACAAAATAGAAACGTTCAAATAAAATCGCACACTAAAGGTGTAGCATCTATAGAAGTATATCGTGTTATACTTCCAGTGATGAACTGACAGCAAAGGGTGACGTCATGTTGATCGATTATTTAAACAGTGTCTGATAGATCTGTGGCCTCTTTCCTTTCACCTCTCAGGTCAGTTGAACTCTAAGGCCACCATGGTGCTAAATCCCGTCATTTCTAAGCTCTCTGGTAAACTGGTTGTATTGGCTAGTTCCTCTCCTAGAAGACTGGAGATACTCCGCAATGCGGTATGTGTTTTATACATTTGGTTAAGTAAAGCAGCCCCTAAAACTACTACTCAGTGATTCTTGAGAATAAGGACAAAATGGGTTTTAATTTTCCCATATATTTTTTTTTATTATTATTTCTCAACCTTATGTATGCAAATATGACAAATAATGTTT